AGGGGGGGGGGCTCCTGGGTGGCCCGGGGTTAGCTTAGTTTCGGTAAGGCTGGCGACCCATGTACTGTGAAGCTGGAAGTCCTTTGCTGGCAGCTGGGCCCAGAGTTCAAAATCCGACCTGTGGGCCTTTGCTGCGTGTCATTTACCCCTTCTCTCTGCCCATTTTCTGTCTGTCTTTGGGCTGTCACTTAATCAAATAAAGGCAATAAAAAGGGCAAAAAAAAACTGGAACTGGAATCACTGGATCGGGTATATAATTTTGAAATGATGGAAGTCTGCCTGTGTGCTGAAAGCCCTTCCTCGTTATATGTCATGGAGAAAACAGCACTAACTATGTAATATAAAGTGAGAAGACCAACTGGGTGGCACCAATGGGATCAATGGCTGGAAAAAAGCATAATTGTCTCCTGGAGGGGACTGAGATGCCATTAGAGCTAAAATGAAACACCTAAAACCATGCTTTTTAGAAAACTGTGCTGTACCCGAATTATTCACTCTCCCATAATGCACTCCAATACTTCGTGACAACAGGTGTGACAGGAAGTATTTGATCTGCTTAAAGTTCAAGGACAAAACATTTGGTGAAACATCAAATTTGATTATTTTCTCCCAGAGCCTAAAAACTCGAAGCAGAAGAGGTAGAAATGACACAGATTTAAAACAATTGACAATAATTTTTAGATTTAAAGCCCAAAAACACAATCTGTAAACTGTGCATGCATGAAGAGCATACTAAAACATTTCTCAAAAAATATCCCAAACATGGACCTGTAAAATGCAGTCGGCTGGTCCTTGGACTAATCTCCTGGGGGAGCAACGTAGTTGCTGAAAGATGTAACTCCATGCCTGAGGGGAACTATTAAATTAGCTTTATCTCCAAATTTATGGGCCACTCATGGTTTAACTGCTTTGTTTTTTCCCCTTTGGGACTGAAATTAAAATAATGTTTAACCAACTGGGGGGGGTAGGACTCAGTCTCGGTACATGGGTTGCCAGCTCTACCGACTGAGCTAACCGGGCGCCCAAGAAAGAGATACATTTGCTTTTAACTACATGTTGGGATGATGGCTGCCTCGCATATCCTGTGTTCGTTTGGAGCGTTGTTGTGCACATCCTCAGAAATGAATGTAACGCATCCGCCATGTGAACACGAGTTTATATATCTACAGCTTACGGAGTAAAATAATGAATACATTATTACTATCAATATGTCTAAAGAATTTTAAAAAGACGGCCAATTAGTTTCAATAACATGAGGAGATCTACATTTGAGTAAATAGTACTTTGCCAGCAGAAAAGGTTTCACACCAGCTAATAAACAGTTACAAAGTGTAATCCTTGAGCCAAGGGCTACCTATTCACCAAGTTCCAGCTCTATTCATTGTGACCTTTTTGAGAAAATTTGTCATACAAACAGGGTCACTGAGTACCTGGACCTTCATCTCCCTGTCAGTGTCCCAGATCCTGATGACTCGGACATCTCCAGACGTCATAAGGAGACCCGTCTCCTGCTCCCAGTCGACGACCATGCCTGCACCTGCAACACAACACAGCAGTTATAATGTAGAGCATGTACACACAAACATGCATCAACACATGTACACTCCATAAAACAAACAACAGCAGTGTGCTCTTAATAGACTCATACATCTGGATTGACGTCACATCAATCAATTAAAAGAAAACAAAACAGAAGGTGACTTTTAATCACAATTAAAACTGGAAAAAAGCATCAAAATATTTAATTACTGAGAATTATTTGTACACAATATGTGACCTGAAGTTTTAATTTATGTATTTTGCTCAGAGTTAATTTAATTTATAAGTGAACACTCACACATATAATCACACACTGACACAGCTGTTAAACACACCGAGCATGTGTTGATCCCCCAAATACACAACCCACACAATCTGTTGGTGGTTTAAGAAGGCTCTTGCTGTCACATGTAGCAAGTCAAAGGAAAGATTAGTGCAACAGCTTTCTGCACCACTGTGTAATCAACAAATATACCACAAAGAATTCAGCAAAACCAGAACTACTGATTTCTGCAGAGCCTGCAGGTGCGTGAGCAACAGCTTTTTATCAAGGTTTTTTGCTAAAAGTTCAAAATTTCTGAGTAAATAAACATGCACTTCATGCAGATGGAAACATGGTTTAGCATTTTGCATCCTTCTCAACAAGACGACCACTGGGAGATACAAACACTGACCCTGGAACTGAGCCTGTCAGCAGATTCTGGCTTAGAGGATTCAAATGCCACTTGAGTGAAAATGTCGGGAGGGAAGAAGCTGAAGACAGCTTCATATGTTGGCAGTCACAGCAGGAATCAAGCGAGCAGTGCCATGTCGGCCACACTTGCCCTGCTGGCTCAGTGATGCCTGGCAGAGGCCTGTGGCTGCAGGCGTCAGTACACTCGGATCCCAGAGTAGCATCTGAAATCCTCTCCCACTGCACTTTTCTGATGTTGGAATTTATATAACTTTCCAAAACCGATGTGACAATCGGCATTTCATGCAGCAGCTGGTGAAGTAAGAATGTAAGCAGGGTTTGAACTTCTCACTTAAGTGCAATGTCTTTAACCACATCTACCTTTCTTTATTTTTCCCCATTAAAGGTATGTTTCGGCCATTTTATGCCTTCAGTGATAGTTAAACAAAGCTCCCTGGTCTGATCTGAACTGAAGATGTTGCAATTCATGGTCGGAACCCTTTGAAGACTGTAAAAACTGTATGCTGTTGGGAAACCAGTGACCATATAGAAAAAAAGTGGAAAAAAACTTGGTTTAAGTGGACCATCAGCAGCAGTAGGAGAACCGCAATTCCTATTAGAGTGAAGGTGCTCTTTTGATATTGGAAGATTATTTGATGAAAGAGAAGGAATAATAGGCAGGTAGGGAATCCAGAAAGGAAAATGCACATGAAAACAATCTTTGTCTCACAATGATGCTTTTACCACAGATGCTAGAGAAGCCATCAGTATCCTTTTCTCTTCTTTTAAAACTCATCAGACCATGCATCATTTCCTCCCCACTTTCCTCTCTTAGTCACTTCCTCTTCCTATTTTTTCACAATCAATAACCAAGGATAAGGACTCCATTACTTTGCTCTTCTCTGGCCTTGCAGAACAATAGTGCAGATGTACATCCTTTGTGATCCTTTCCAACTGCTTATCTCTTCTGGTTGCCTACTTTATAAATCGTGACGTAACTTTCTTACTGAACCATCTGTGACAGGGTTTCTACTGTTCTACTTGGCTTGGGTTGTCAGGAAAACCCAAGCCCCTTGTGGCGGATTTAAATCCTCCAATGTGACGTCATCTGGCCTCCTGCTCAGGCGTCACAACGACGGTAGTGTGGGCACATGTGTGGGGATAGCACACAGGGAAAACCACTTCACAGTACAAGGCTTAGTCAGCAACACGTTCAGAGTCGCATGCGGGGATGCTTGATGCTGGCTCATTTCAGGGACTGTGAGAAGAGAGGAGGCATTCCCTTTGAAGCTGGCAGCTCTGCGATGAGGAAATCTGGGTTACAATGAGAGCGGTTGCACAAGATTCTCCAACACAGAAGCGTGTGCATTTATTTCCTCTATAATAAGAAGCACGCATGCCACCAAACCATTCCAAGATTTAGATTCAGTTTAAGCCCTCTTTATACATCATTATTTTTCCCTCTGTCCCACTATGATGAGAAATCCATTGTGGATAGAATAAAATGTGTATGAAAGGAAATCCCCAGCAGACTTAGCACTGCTATGGTCCAATTGTCTCTGTGTTTTGGTTGCTATTTTAAGCA